ATTAACATAACCTGACCTAACCTAACCTAACAAATACTGAATTCACGAGACAAAGAAAAATGGGTACTGATATAACAGGAAAGTACCAAATATACTTTCTTTGCAGTTCACAGAGGGGAATGAGGCACAACTGACCAACAGATCACGTTCGTTCAACATGCCCACCGACATGGAAGGCGGTCGGGTTCAGTCAACGGGAAAAATGATGCAACCCGAGGAGGATGACGACGAAGAAGAGGATGACAATGACGACGGGTGCCTCTCCAGAACTATGGATGCGATTTATTCCAGGATAGGGACATTCGTGGAAGAGAACTCCGGAGTTCTGAGAATCGGTGCCCTCATTCTGCTTTTTGCCGGCTACAATGCCTATCTCGGTGCGGTAATTTGGAGAACAGTGGATGAAGGAGATCCGATTCAGTGGTGCGACGGTTCGGGATTCTTATTTGCCCTGACTGGAGTCGTTTACTTTTGTTTGATCTACTTTCAAATCGTCAAGAGGTTCTTTGGGAAAGCTCTCGCCGAAAATGTGATTACGCCGATAGTGAAAGGCATTGACTACGCCTTCTCATTCAGGTGAGTGATTGGATGACTTCACATTCAACGCCATGCAGTATTTTTTTTAAATCAGTTCAGAGATGAAGCCCTAGATTTCAAATTCTACTTTGAAAGTTTGTCTACTAATGCTTTGTAAGTTGATGTCCCAATATCCATGGAAAGTTTCCAGAAAGTATGCCTGTGAAAAGGTATAAAAGGTACTACAGTTGAACCTCTGTAAGTCAAATACCTCCCTAACTCAAATTTGTCTCTAGTCCCCATCTGATTCCCTCAGAAACAATGCATTAAAAACCTCTCTAACTCAATGTATTTTTCTCTCAAACCTCTGGAAGTCAAATTTTCTGAGGCCTTTTGGTTACTATTTCCTTGAAACATGAAAGAATTCTGGCAGTTTAAAGGGGTTGGCAATTTATCAAATATTTCATTTTAAATCATTTGATTAAGAATACTTGATTGTCCTTCAAAAGTAAAAGAAATACAAGTTTTCCATAAACTGCAGTAATTTTCTGAAGAGTATTGCTGCGATTTATGCATTACTCCTTCAGAAAATAATTCTTCTGTATCAATTTATTCAAGTTTTAAAATTAGGTCTATATATTGTTCAAAGTTTTTGAAAAATGAAGATTTTCATTTTGTTTTCTTCTTACCAATACAAGATCCTGGACAGAAAATATAATTGTACCCCAATGTTGGCGTTGTAACAAAGACAAAACTAATACAAAACAGCACTCTTGTTTCATCACTAATGCTGGCAGATGGTGGATGGTGTCTTATCAAGGTTTCCTATGGCATTTAGTATTGAGGAGATTTGTTTCATTCAAAATTTCCTTGAAACATGAAAGAAGAAATCAATGAAAAAATATTTCATGCATCTTTACAGGAATTGAAAGACTAATTAAGCAAATTAACCCCTTCCATCAAGTTCAGCAAGCTGTAAACTCATTTAGAAGAAAGTTTGAGCCCAGAATATCCTCATTTATGATTCCCTGCATTTTTTTTTACTTATCCTAGCAGCAAAATTGATTGTTTCCCTGACTCAAAGCCTCATAATACAGTCAAACCCCATTAAGGCGCCCCCAATAAAGCGCCAACCTTGGCAACTGCCAACATTTTGAATAAAACAAATCTCCTCAATACTAAATGTCATAGAAAACCTCAATAAGACGCCAACCGCCAGCATTAGTGATGAAACAAAAGTGCTGTTTTGTATTAGTTTTGTCTTTGTTACAGCGCCAACATTGGGGTAAGATTATATTTTCTGTCCAGGATCTTGCATTGGTAAGAAGAAAACAAAATGAAAATCTTCATTTTTCAAAAACTTTGAACAATATATAGACCTAATTGTAAAACTTGAATAAATTAATGCAGAAAAATTAACTTTCTGAAGGATCAATGCATAAATCACAGTAATACTCTTTGGAAAATTACTGAAGTTTATGGAAAACTTGTATTTCTATTACTTTTGAAGGCAAATCAAGCATTCTTAATCAAATGATTTGGCAAGAATAGGTAAATGATGTATTGGTAAGAAGAAAACAAAATGAAAATCTTCATTTTTCAAAAACTTTGAACAATATATAGACCTAATTTCAACACTTGAATAAATTGATACAGAAAATTAATTTTCTGAAGGAGTAATGCATAAATCACAGCAATACTCGTTGGAAAATTACTGACGCTTATGGAAAACTTGTATTTCCATTACTTTTGAAGGAAAATGAATTATTCTTGATCAAATGATTTAAAATAAAATATTCAATAAACCGCCAACCCCTTTAAACTGCCAGAAATCTTCTGGACAAATGGTGGCGTCAAACCCTCCCCAAGTCGAATTTTTTTTTGCTGGTCCCTGAAAATTTGACTTAGAGAGGTTCTACAGTATATTGGTGTTATGATTGTGCTAAATATCCATTTTGAGTCAAAGAAAGAAAGAATCAAGTATTCTTGATCAAATGATTTAAAATAGAATACTCAATAAACCGCTAACCCCTTTAAACTGCCAGAATTCTTCTGGACAAATGGTGGCGTCAAAACCTCCCCAAGTTGATTTTTTTTGCTGGTCCCTAAAAATTTGACTTGGAGAGGTTCTACAGTGTTATGATTATGCTAAATATCCATTTTGAGTAAAAGAAAGACACATTTTGAATGTCCTTGCTTCCTTTATGATTCGCAGGGCATCAAAGTTGATTGCTTTTGTTGCATTCTTTGCAATAGTCTTGGGATTCATTATTTATGATACCTGGGATGCACCAAGGCGATTGCAATCGGGCATTGGCATCATCGTCATCGTGTTGTTCGCCTTCGTTTTCTCTCGTCATCCTGGGAAGGTATACTCAAAATTTTGACGTAATCGAGACTGAAGTGTGCAACGTGTTAAATTGATAAGAGGGCTTATCTACATTTCTTGATGATCAGATAGCTCCGAGAATCTTGATACAAACACATCCACTATCAAAATGAATGTGACATTGATCTGAACTGCGGAAATTGAAAATTTTCCCTGGAAAAAGAATGTATCCATGAAAATGCGACGCATATTTTCTGACTTGAAATCAATGACCTGTTGGGCTGTCCTTCATTTCAATTTTTCAATGATTAATACAGGTGAACCTCCATAACTCAAACATCCCTAGGTCAAATACCCCCATAGGTCGAATATTTTTTCAGGTCCCCATCTGAATCCCCTTAGAAGCAATACATTAAAAACTTCCCTAAGTTGAAAGCTTTTCCCCTTAAACCTCTATAAGTTGAATTTTCTGTGGCCTTTTGGCCATTATTTTCTTGACCCAAGAAAGAAAAAAAGCAATAAAAACAGAAATTTGTGTGTTTTAAAGGAAGTGAGAGACTTAATTGGGCAAATGAACCCCTGCCTCCAAATTCAGCAGCATTTCAACTCATTTAAGAAGCCATTCAAGAACCCAGAATATCACCATTTAAATTTGTTCCAAGTTTCTCTAAAAATAGCTTTTTATTGTAGTTCAAACCTATATAATTCAAAACCTCCCTAAGTCAAATGTTTTGTAGGTCCCTTGAAATTCAATTACTCAGAGAGGTTTGACAGTATCTTGGTAATGCATTGCAAATCAGTCTACTGAGTTTGAAGGATGGTTTAAACAAAATGCAGAAAACTGTCAACTCCAACCACTAAGTGTGAATTAGCATCTGGAAAACTGATCCTCCAGTCAGTTAAATCCAAATTAAGTGACATGACAGGTTCAAGCTTGTAAGGGTTTGTTATTTCAATGAAAAGAAAATAACCAAGCTGATATCTGCAGTTTCCCACTGCATGCAACAAATTATGTTTGAGATTGCATTGTTATCTTAAAATGGATTCAATTGTTGATCCACCCTGACCTTGTGCAGCATTTCTGACTCACTAGTGTGAAGCAGGCAAGAGTGTTTCTTGGACTCACAACCCTCATTGTTTTCCAGTATTTATTAGCTGAAAAATTGGAAGTGCTCCTTAGAATCCAGGAAGTCTTTCACAGTATCCTGTAAAGTATTTTTTTGCCCTACAGGGCAGTACATTGATTAATGCATAAGGTTTCTCTGGCAAATTATTTTGAGATTCACCTGAAACCCAAGCCATATTATAAAATGCAGAAGTAGTCTGTTGGATATTGAACTTGCTGCCAAGATGAATGTGATTGCTCTGTGTCCATAGGTTGTATGGAGACACGTTGTCTGGGGCTTGGGCTTGCAATTCATCTTTGCTCTCATGGTGTTGCGATGGGATTTTGGCAGAAATGTTCTTGAGTGCCTTTCTGACAAGGTCAAGCGATTCCTTGAACAAGCCAATGCCGGTTCAGCTTTTGTGTATGGTTACCTTGTGAATGGCGTGGTATCAGTGAGAAATGTGACAGCTGCAGATGGATCACCAATCCCTGGCTTTGGAAGTGGGGGGATGACTGTTGAGCTGAACAGCACAATTTTCGCCTTCCAGGCAAGATATTGTATTCATTTCCCTTTATTAATATTCTCTCCATCCCTCCAAGGAATAAACAGACAAATGCAGTATACTGTATAAGATTATAGAAAGTGTGGACGGTTTTGAATTTTCACTTGGATACAAAAACAACCAGGGAATCACTTTTTTTTTTATAAATGCACAGTATTAATAATCTCTGCTGCAGTCTTGAAATGCAAACCTAACCCTTTCATACACATTGTAACCAAAATGGGTACAAAAAGGCAGAATTCAGAAATAAAACACTTCATTCAGCTGTGGGGTTCAGCTGGGGATCTTGTTTACAAGATCCCAAAGAAAAAAATAAAGATATATTTCTTTTAACCCCAAACACAAAAACAGACCTTTTCACAAATTCAGACACAGTAAAAACAATCATCCTTCTTAAGCACACAGAATTAATTGATTAAATTGGATAAAAATCTCACACCACATGACCACACTGAGAATGTTCCATGACATGGTGGCAAGTTGGAAGCTGCTGAAAACATGAGGAAGGTCTTGAATGTTCTGGATTAATCCAGTAACATCTCTTACAAATTTATTGTATGGTGCAGCGGTACTTTAAAGTACCAAATTATTCCACCACACACATGTTGAATGCTGCCAAAAATTTTAACTGTGACATTTTTGAGGAGGTATACATTCTGCAAAGATTTTTCAATTCAAGAAAAGTTGTTCCTGAGAAAACTACATTAGTAATATGCAGTAATCTGTTTGTGTATCCTGTATGAAATATTATATGGGATGTATGAGGAGAAGACTGATCTATACCAATTTTCAGTCAAAACTGAAGCAACAAAGCATGATACAATGCACTCAAACAAGCTGAATAGATACATCCTTGGACTTGAGAATACTGTAATAATGTAATTTATGCTGTACATAGGTTCACTTCTTCCTACAAAGATGCATATAGCAATGGACCGGAACAAACATATGGTTTTGCTCCCAACTGAGTATTTCTTAATTTGTTATCTTGGTGAAGTATAGTTAAGGCAATTGAAAAATGCATGTCTCAGTTGATAACTCTAAAACAGCATGCAAAAATGAATTGTCTTACTGTACAGTATGGTTTTTTTGCTTGACCAGTTGCTTACAAACAATTCAGAGGAAAAATACATGCAACTATTGGTGAACTGTTTTAAAAATCCATCAAAGGTAAGGCCTTTCTGTAAAAGCATCTGGTACATTTGTATTTAGCAATAATTTGTTTACATTTCTCATACTGTCCACATCAATCAAATCAAAACCATGACAATTGAATTGTCAAAAATTATAGAATATACCTTAAAGCACATTCTACTGTATTAGCCTAATTAGTTCTTGAGATATTGTTCAAGATTTTTCTAATTTTTACTGATGCGACCAGAATTTTACTCTGTTACCAGGGTTTCTTTAGATGTTGATGAGAAAAGTATTGTATTAATGCAGCTTTTTATATTGTTATTGAATTAATACTACTGCAATGGCCTACAAATAAATTAGGGTTGACATAGTTCAAATTTATTAAAAGTGGAAGCTGGTGATTATTTCAAACCTTTCTTTTCTTTTGAGATTGCCTAAGTTTGCCTTGAATGCTGAAAGACCTGATATAATCATGGTGGTATAAAAATCACTGGCCTTGAATGAGGGACAGATCAATTTCAAGCACCATTGCTGCTTGTGTTTTGAAAATTACCAAGGATTCTTTTCTCATACAGGTCCTATCTGTGATCTTCTTCTTCAGCTTTGTGATCCAAATGCTCTATTATTACGGGGTAATGCAATGGCTTGTGGCGAAAATAGGATGGGTTTTACAAATCACAATCGGAACAACAGCTGCAGAGTCCCTGTCTGCATCTGCAAATATTTTTGTTGGTCAGGTAAGTCTCATTCATTTGTCCAATCTTCTTAAAAAAAACCCCCAATTAACTACAGATCTCATCTACAGACTGAGGCCCCATTGATGGTAAAGCCGTATCTACCCATAATGACAAAATCAGAGCTTCATGCCATCATGACTGGCGGGTTTGCAACTGTTGCAGGTAAGTGTTGAACAAACACAGTTGCATCCATCTTGAATATGCTATTTTCTTCTATCAAAACTGCTACACAGTGTATTTACTTGAGCATCAAAAGCATCATTTTTTATAGATCATAACAGATAAAATCAAGATGTTGTCCTAGAATCAATGATGCTTATGATTTGCATGTAACATGCTACTTTCTGCTAGATGATGCTGCAAATATGCGCATGGACGGAAAATATGCAAATTTTGGTACTTTCCTGTTATCTCAGTACTTACTTTCTGTGCACCTACCAGAAACTGTGAATTTCATTTTTCCGCATTCTGCTGAAACTGATTTTGGGAGGCGGTTAGGTANATCTCAGTACTTACTTTCTGTGCACCTACCAGAAACTGTGAATTTCATTTTTCCGCATTCTGCTGAAACTGATTTTGGGAGGCGGTTAGGTAAAGTTAGGTTAGGTCAGGTTATGTTAGTTACAAATATCTTTCAATTAACATAACCTGACCTAAACTAACCTAAAAAATACTGAATTCACGAGACAAAGAAAAATGGGTACTGAGATAACAGGAAAGTACCCAAATTTTTGTGTTGCTGTATTATGGTGTTTTGCTTAACTGGCAGGAAATCTGTCTACCTCTGAGGATGATCTGAACTGAATGCAGAAAATTTGCACATCAAATTAAACAAATAAGAAAGAAAATGAATAGTTTTCTCTGAATATTTTTCTTCTTGATTATGTTGCTTGCATGGGTAACTCTAGCTGGAGAGAATGCAAGGTCAAATCTAACCTTTCTATTTTCCATCTAGAAAGTAATTCTAATTGAGTTTACTCTTGCTAAATTTTCTCAACTATAAAGAAATCTAATCTTGGGCATTTTCTGCAGTACCTCATGCAAAGATGTTTATTTGAGTTGGAATTTTGTGGTTCACTGTACAGGAGATGTTCATTAATGTTGTGGAGCATGTGTCAGTGCTTCCTAGATTTGCCCAAATTTTTTCCAATTTTCAAACATAAAAAATGAAGAAATATCTTAATTCATGGCTGTTGGTGTTCTTTTTGCTATGAGAAACAATTGACCGGCTGACTGAACCATTCCACCTGCCAACAGGTACGGTTTTGGCGGCGTACATCAGTTTTGGCATTTCTGCGTCTCATATTTTGGCTGCGAGTGTGATGTCTGCTCCAGCGGCTCTGGCAATTGCAAAATTGTTCTATCCTGAAACCGAGAAATCAAAGACGACTGCTGATACTGTTGGAGAAATCAGCCTTGAGTGAGAATGGTTTTCTCTAAAATCACATAAAAAAAAGGGACACATTTTTCTACGTCATTCATCCAGTGTTAAAATATTAAAAGTAATATTAAAAGCAGCATATTAGATGTAATCAATACAGCAAAAAAAAACAGCCTTTCCTCTGAGAAAACTTATATGCTCCTTGCTTCTTTTGATACAGTACTTGTTTTTTTTCAACTGTTCAAGTGAAATTATTCTTTGCTGAATTGTTTCCAGGTTTTTAATAGTATATTTTACATTGGTTTCTAATATCAAGACAAAAGGTTTCCACGTGTGCCATAAAAAGCAAGGGTCTGCTAACTGAGACAAAAATTAGTAAAGAGATTGTTGTGCAGATTTAAAACACAGATATATAGCCAGGGTTCCTTATTATTGTACAGTACTGTACTTCTTTGTTTTTATAATACTATTTTAAAATACAGTGAGTTCCACATTTTTGGAAGCTTTCATTTTTTAGTCTCCTGGCCAAAATGAGCAGAGCATCTGAAGCAGTACATTTCAGGCCAAATTACAAGAAACAGATATTTCCAACCCTAAAATTGATGCAAAAAAAGTTGTTGGGCATTTTTCTCACCAATTCACCATCCATTTAGCTAATTTTAAAAATTACCTCCAGCGTAGATGGACTTCCTTCTCTCTTTTTCACTTGTGTGTTATTTTTTTTTACAGAGAATGCCAACATTTCTATGTACTGTAAAAAGGTATCAGTATTCAATTCCGCAAATGTCCATATTGTGTTGAAATATATTGATTAAATCAGTTTTAAATTGGGAGACAATTTTCATTTTCATGGAATTATGGTGAGTATTTTGTCCATAAAACACCAATTAATAATTACATAATGTAAGTCTAAGGGAAAATGAGACTCAACTTAGGGACATTTCAACTTGGGGACACTCTTGACGCACCAATTACGTCCGCATCTCGGGGTCTCACTGTAATTGCTCGGAACGCAAGTTCACCCAGTCCTGGAAAATTCTAGTCACGCGCTGGTCTCATTAGTCGGAGTAATCAACCAGCTGCAATCCGACCTACACACAGATGATAAGAGCTGAGTCGGGAATGCTTGACTTCATTTTTTTCAGTGATCACGCAAACGTACTGGACGCAGCCGCATCCGGTGCATCCCAAGCAGTTGACCTGGTCATGAACATCATCGCGAACCTGATAGCCTTCACATCTTTCATAGCGTTCCTGGACGCATTGGTCGCCTGGTTCGCGTTGCAGCTGGGATACGATTACGTTAATTTCACGGTGAGCCATAACCATCCCATCATTTACGTCCCAAGCAGAATTTTTCTATGTGGATTTATGGGATGATGAGTACATTACAGTGGAACCTCCCTAAGTCAAATACCTCCGTAAATCGAATATTTTTCAAGTCCCTGTATGGATTCCCATAGAAAAAAAATGCATTAAAAGCCTCCCTAACTCAAAGTGATTTTCTCTCAAACCTCTGTAAGTCGAATCTTCTGAGGCCTTTTGGTTATTATTTCCTTGAAATAGGAAAGGGAAAATCAGCAAAACAAATTATTTCATGCGTTTTGAAATAAAGTGAAAGACTAATTGAAGAAATGGACCCCTGCCTTCAAGTTTAAATTAAAATGATATTTTTTTTTTCAAGTACAGTGACTAGAATGATGAGTACATTACAGTCGAACCTCCCTAAGTCAAATACCTCCCAAAATTGAATATTTTTCAGGTCCCTGTCTGGATTCCCATAGACAAAAGTGCATTAAAAGCCTCCCTAACTCAAAGTGGTTTTCTCTCAAACCTCATCTGTAAGTCGAATTTCCTGAGGCCTTTTGGTTATTATTTCCTTGAAATATGAAAGGGAAAATCAGCAAAACAAATTATTTTATGCGTTTTGAAATAAATTGAAAGACTAATTGAACAAATGGACCCCTGCCTTCAAGTTTAAATTAAAATGATGTTTTTTTTAAAGTACAGTGACTAGAATGATGAGTACATTACAGTCGAACCTCCCTAAGTCAAATACCTCCCAAAATTGAATATTTTTCAGGTCCCTGTCTGGATTCCCATAGAAAAAAAATGCATTAAAAACCTCCCTAACTCAAAGTGATTTTCTCTCAAAACTCTGTAAGTCGAATTTCCTGAGGCCTTTTGGTTATTATTTTCTTGAAATATGAAAGAGAAAATCAACAAAACAAATTATTTTATGCGTTTTGAAATAAAGTGAAAGACTAATTGAACAAATGGACCCCTGTCTTCAAGTTTAGCAAGGTGTAGGTAAACTCATCAAGGAGCAAGTTTAGGCCCAGAATATCCTCATTTACAATTTCCCACACTTATTTTTCACGTATTCTCACAACAAGTGTTTGTTTCCTCAACTGGAAACCTCTGAAAATCAAAACCTCCCCAAGTCGAATTTTTTTCCTGGTCCCTAGAAATTTGACTTACAGAGGGTTTAACTGTAGTACAAGTGTGATGATATTAATAGCCATTCACTCGGAACCAACCAATCCCAATGATTGAAATGCATAAAAACGCAAAGATTTTTGTATGAAAGATAGCTCACATATGTTCCTGTTGGAAGCAAAAGAACGAGAAAGCGAATTGTATCACGACATTAATCCTGCATGAGTATGATTATTAAAGTAAGCTTTAGCATGGAGTATGTCAAGTCATTGGATTTACGCATGAGTATGATTATTTAAGTAAGCTTTAGCATGGAGTAAGTCAAGTCATTGGATTTACGCAAGTGAAGTAGGCCTCTCCCTAATTTTGACAGATATTTCAGCATAAAAATGCGTTGGCCAAAAAGATTAAGAGAAACTGAGACTCGTACATGAACAGTGTATTCATCAAGTAAACTATCATTAATTTTTTTCTGCATTGAAGCATGAGCTTGTTTTAGATATTCAAGTTGAACCCCATAACTTAATTGAAACACCTATGCGTCAAATTTTTTGACGCATACATGCGGAGACCCCCACATGCGGACACCTCGACATAGTGAAACTTATTTTATCATGAAAAATTAATAAAAATGGCCCAACATGAGGACACTGACTTATTGACATAGGGACATTTTGTTATAAAATTGCAAATACATTTCAGGCCAAATTACCTTAGGAACAATGCATTGAAAACTTCCTTCATTCAAAGAGTTGACCCTTCAAATATCCATGACTCAAATTTTCTAGAGGCCTTTTGGCTATTATTTCATATACACAGGAGAGAGAAAAGCTATGAAAATGTAACTCAATGTGTTCTGAAAGGAAGTGAAGACTAATTGGGCAAATAAAACCTTGCCTTCAAATTCAACTTCCTCATTTTGGAATAAATTTAAGGCCCATCAGAATATCGCCAATTAAAATTTCCTGTACTTTATCTGTCTTTTCCACACAAGAATATTTTCCTCCCTAATTCGAAAACCCTATATATCACGATTTTTTTGGTCCCTTGAAGTGTGACTGTAATGGTACTGGAAGAAGTGAACGAATATTGTATTTTCATTCCACATAAATAAATGCTTTCTTCAATGCAGTACTGTATGACAATAAAGCTACGTCATGCTGTTCCTCAGTTATTCCACTTAATGGGCAAATACGAGGGGTCTAACAAAAGTTCTCGGAATAGAAATGAAGATGGCGTATACTTGAGCTGAAAAAATTTATTATTTAGGGAAAACATATTCTTTTTCACACAAAAAACCCCGTTCAGCCATTTTTTGAAAAATTCACCCAGGCAGAGTTTTGCTCTCCATTCAAAAGATGAGGCGCCCTTCCTGTTGGGAAAAAATCCCAACAAGGAAAAGGTTAGGTTTAAAAACTTGAGTTTTAACAGAGATTTTGAAATAAAACACAAGAATTTGGTTGGGCTACGACCAGGGTGCAAAACACCCTATTTTAAAGTTGGTATATATCAACAACACAGAAAATCTCACAAAATCTCGGAGAACGTTCATGCTCAAGTGTTTGATTCAGACTGTGTCAAATAATGTGAACTTGGAAAACAGGAAAACTGTCCTCCAAGGACGAGAAACGGCAAACAGAAATTGGTAACAAAATACAGCCTTGAGGGCTGTAGAAGGACATCTGTAATAAATTACAGCCCTGGAGGCTGCTGACCATCTGTGGGAACCAAGGTCTTCCAAGATTCCCACACAGATAGTAAATGAAAGACTAAATTTGTCAGGGAATTCGGGTTCTCTAAAGTTAGCGTATCGAATTTAATATACCCATTGAAATATTCGCGACACTTCCTGCAGTTTTTTTATTTTTATAGTCCAGCTTTCCCATCAGAATTCTTGAAATCAACACGGCAGTAATTCCAAGAATTGCCTCCAGGTCTTCCAAGGTAATACCGCCATTTTCATCAACAGCTGTTGGTGAAAATGGCGGAATTAACAAAAAAAAAATCTGCAGGAAGGGCGCCTCATCTTTTGAGTGGAGAGAAAAACTCTGCCAGGGTGAATTTTGCAAAACAATAAAAAAATTATCAAACAGGGCTGATTTTTTTCTTGTGTCAAAGAATATGTTTTCCCTGAATAATAATTATTTTTCAGCTCGATTATACGCCATTTTTTAATTCTATTCCGAGAACTTCTGTTAGAACCCTCATATATGGACCATCTGCTTCTTTGTTCAAAGCACAGTGTTTGAAGGCAAGCTGATTTATGCTCAAGTCAATATTCCACCATGGCATTATCCTCCCAAAATTTTTTTCAGTGGATTATCGGACGCATTTGCATGCCATTGGCATGGACGATGGGTGTGGAATGGGAGGATTGCGACGAAGTGGGTGAACTCATAGGCATCAAGACTATCGTCAATGAGTTTGTCGCCTATTCTCGATTGAGTGAATTCGGCGATACTATTCAGGTTGGAACTCATTGGATTCTTTTTTTAAAACCTGTATTTCGATTTTATTTCACGGAACCAAAAAAAAAAAAAACAGATAAATAGTTTTCCCAGCGTGAACCTTTGAAGATACAGTGAGACCCCTAGATGAGGATGTAATTGGTACATCAATATTTAAGTCTAAGGGAAAATGAGACTCAACTTAGGGACACTCTTGATGCACCAATTACAGTGAGACCCCCACATGCGGACACCTCGACATAGGGACACTTATTTTATCATTAAAAATTAATAAAAATGGCCCAAACATGAGGACACTGACTCGACATAGGGACATTTTTTTATAAAATTGCAAATACTTTTCAGGCCAAATTACAAGATACAGATATTTCCAGCCCTAAAATTGACGTAAGAAAAGTTCTTGGACATTTCTCTCACCAATTTACCATCCATTTAGCCAATTAAAAAAAATTACCTCCAGCATAGAGGGACTTCCTTCTTAATTGGGAGACAATTTTAATTTTCACAGAATCATGGTGAGTATTTTGTACATAAAACACCAATCAAAAATTATATAATGTAAGTCAAAGGGAAAATGAGACTCAACTTAGAGACATTTCAACTTGGGGACACTCTTGATGCACCAATTACGTCCGCATCTCGGGGTGTCACTGTATAACAATGAAGAAAAAAAAATCTAGAATGGAATAGAGTATAGAACAGTTTGCGCTTCATGTCAACCAGCTCACGTTTTGTATCAGTTTATTCCGCTGTATATATATCAACTGCTGATCACGATTTTTTCTCCATTGTAACCAACAGCCAAGGTCGAAGCTGATTTCCACATACGCATTGTGTGGATTCTCCAACATTGCTGGGATCGGTATACAACTCGGTGGTCTCAGCGCATTGGCCCCCAATAGGAAGTCAGACTTGTCCGAAATCGCCTTGAGGGCATTGATTTCCGGATCTCTGGCTTGTTTTCTGACTGCTTGCATCGCTGGTGAGTTTATTTTTAAAGAAAAAAAAAGTGCAGTACTTTATAATCATTGAAATAATACAGTCAAACCTCTCTGAGTCGAACTTCAAGGGAGCCGCAAAAAAAAAATTGTTGACTCAGGAAGGTTTTGAATTCAGCTAAAATACAAAGCCCTTTTTCTCATGGGAAACATGGAAAAATTGCTCAAAATCGATAATTTTGATATTCTGAGGCTGAAATTACTTCTTAAATGAGTTGAAAGCATCCTAAATTTGAAGGCAGGGTTCATTTGCCCAATTAAGTCTCTCACCCCCTTTTAAAACAAATCAATTTCTGTTTTTATTGCTTTTTTTCTTTCTTGCGTGAAGAAAATAAAAATCAAAAGGCTGCAAAAAATTGGAATTATGGAGGCTTGAGGGGAAAAGCCTTTGACTCAGGGAGGTTTTAAATGCATTAATTCTAAGGGAATTCAGACAGGACCTGGAAAAAAAATTGATTTAGGGAGGTTTTGAATTGAGCTAAAATACAAAACCCTTTATCTCCAGGGAAACATGGAAAAATTGCTCAAAATCGTAAATTTTTGATATTCTGAGGCTGAAATTACTTCTTAAATGAGTTGAAAGCAAATTAAACTTTGAGGCAGGGTTCATTTGCCCAATTAAGTCTCTCACCTCCTTTTAAAACAAATCAATTTGTGTTTTTATTGCTTTTTTCTTTCTTGCGTCAAGAAAATAATATTCAACAGGCTGCAAAAAAATTGGAATTATGGAGGCTTGAGGGGAAAAGCATTTGACTCAGGGAGGTTTTAAATGCATTAATTCTAAGGGAATTCAGACAGGACCTTTAAAAAAATTTGACTTGGGGAGGTTTGAACTTGGCTAAAATATAAAGCCCTTTTTCTCCTGGGAAAAATAGAAATATTGCTCAAAGTCGTAAATTTTGATATTCTGAGGCTGAAATTACTTCTTAAATGAGTTGAAAGCATCCTGAACTTGGAGGCAGGGTTCATTTGCCCAATTAAGTCCGTCACCTCCTTTTAAAACAAATCAATTTATATTTTTATTGCTTTTTTCTTTCTTGCGTCAAGAAAATAATATTCAACAGGCTGCAAAAAAAAATTGACTTAGGGAGGTTCAAGATATCGACGCTCAACTGTATTGTGTCCTTCTGACCGTTCTTTCATTTTTCCAGGAATTTTGATTGACGCATGATCAAAGCTTCGCCGAATCCGATGGATGTTCATACGCGCATCATTATTATTTTTTTTTGCACTGGAACACATTTCTCATTGGTGCATGATACGATTCGTTTGTTTTTATTCTGTAAAATGTGGTTACCATGACTCGCGTCTTTAAAGCTTTACGTGCCATCCCTGTGCGATATTGCAAGCACATTCTTGAGATTTTCCCCGTCATTTTTTTCCCCTCGCAAAATAATTTTCCAGATTGGAAAGTTCGTCCGACTTTCACAGAAGAAGCTAGCTCATTTCAGCTTATGACACTTGGTAGAGTTCACCATGTTTGAAGGGTTTCTCGGAAGTCCAGCAGACAGAACCTGCTAGAGAATTCTTACCACAATATTACACAGTGAGACCCCCACATGCAGACACCTCAACATGAGGACAATTCGACATAGGGATATTTATATTTTAATAAAAAAGGTCATAAAAAAGGCCTGACATACAGACACTGACTCAACATGAGGACATCAAATGATAAAATTGCCAATAAATTTCACAAAAATTGACTTTTATTTGGCTTGATTGAAAGAAACAGATATTGCCAACTCTAAGATTTATGCAAGAAAAAATCTTTGCCATTTCTCCCAACATTTTCCCATCCATTCAGCTAATTAAAAAAAGTACCAATTGCATAGAGGGATTTCCTTTGCTCTTTGTGACTTGAATGTTTTTTGCAGATGCCAACATTTCTATGTACAGTACAGAGAAATACTATTAAATGCTCCAAATGTTCTTATTGAGTTGAAAATATATTCACTGAATCAAATCCAAGTGGCAAACAATTTTTTTCATGGAATTCTGAAGAATATTTTTTCCATAAAACACTAATTAAAAATTATATAATGTAAGTCTATGGGAAAATAAGACTCAACTCAGGGACAATTCAACTTAGGGACACTCTTAACGCACCAATTGCGTCTGCATTTTGGGGTCTCACTTTATATTCAAAAATCTTTCCCAGTTAAATGTTTGTAGTTGAAGTTCAGACACAATCAGAAATGAATCAAAGGCTTTTACTGTACAGTACTTCTGAGGAACTTCATGCGTCTAAAAAGTATCACGCTTTAGTTTTCTTGTGAATGATCAGGTTCCTTGTTATGCCAAGACTTTACTTCAAATGCTCCTGAAGCTTTGCGTTGCAATCATAACGTTTTCATTAAAATGTTCATATTTTGATACCCATAATAAAAAAAATATTATATAACTAATGTATGCCAAAATTTGCTCAGGGCCAAAGCAGCCGCTTTAAGATCCAATCTTTTTTTTTCATGATTATTTCATCTTGGTATTTGGGGAAGATCCACCCAGGAATTCATAGAAAAGATTAGAGCGAATTTCTTTCTTGCCAAAAATCCTCTCAGCGCACATAACAGATCTGCTACTGTGCTGATCTTTTTGCCTTCTTTTGGGATGGGACCTCATAAGCTAACCCTGAAAGCGATCATGTTTTATTCAACTGCATTGATGACATGTTGAGTGATTTCTGAGAAACCGCTCATCAAATCCCTGAAATGGCGAGGGGGTTTTATTTGTATTTTTTTCCCGGTGCCAGGAATTCGGACATGAACTCGCCGATTTTTTTTTCTGGACCCCTGTGACTGATACCTGCTGTGATGATCGCGTATTCGACATGAGAGCTATTTTTTTTTGTCGGGATGGCGGAATAACGTGGTGATTCCAACACTGTATTACTGTGGTCAAGTCTATCCTGGAACAAACTCAAATCGGCACTTCACAACTGGACGGTACCCAACCAAAAGCCCCCCCCCCCACCACTTTTTATAATTGGATGCAAGTTTCATAATACTGTTTGGTGGCCCTGAGAAGGACTATTTGGTTTCATTAGTTCTCAAAAGGACTGCTTAATAATCATCTTCAAAATTGCCTTATGATGTCTCTTCCTCACTGTCACTGATGCTCTTCATGTCATTTTCTTCCAAGTAACCATCGTAGTATGCCTTTTGACCATCCTTCTGATTTTTGATGATCTGAATTGCACAAGCCATTGGGCCAACAAGGTGAACTGTAGATTTTGCAGAAATCAGCAAGTGATGATGCTTCGACATTATATTCAAAGAATCACTGATGACCACTGAAGATGAGGAATCCCTTTATATACTCAACTTACAAACATAATGGTACTTGGCCTTGTGCTGGGCCTGCTGGTGAAAGGTGCAGCTTACCATCAAGATTTACAAGAATACCTGTAATCCCCAATTTTCGAACCTAGTGGGGGGGGGGCTTTTGACCTAGGGGGGATTTAGGCAGGGGGGCTTTTGACCTAGGGGGGCTTTTGGCAGGGGGGGCTTTTGGACTACACCCCTTGAGAAGCCTTCAATTTTTCAAGAACAAATCTTTAGTAAGGATAAAAGCATTGCTGGAACCCTGTTAAAACGCCATGGTACCCGGAAAACCAGCCAAGTGGAATCAAGAACCCAACCAAGAACCCTAAGACGGCTTAACCCGTCTGGGAATGTTGACCACCCTTTCTTTGAACAATTGGGGCCCCATACCTCCAGAGTTACCTAACTTCCTACACCATTCATTTTTCTTCGTATGACTGACTGTCTTTGACTCGGGTTGCTGTTGACTCCCATTATTTTAGGAGCCAAAATTATTGACTACTCAAATATGCTCCTGCTAATTAATGTTGTCTTTGACAGCCGGCCAATATATTCCTAATTTTATGTACGAAATCTCCAATAGAAGAACACAAACGCGAAGATGACGCAACATCCTTTTTGGGAACATTATGGCTAGATAAAATGTACGTATCCTGGGTTAGTTTTGATTGCTTTTTAAAAGAATATGTGTTTTATTTTCTATTTTACTTGATGTTCAGTTTATTTTGCCTTTTTTCATGAACCACCAACCCCCGTAAACCGCCACGAACTTCACGAACAAATGATGGCGGAATATCGTGGCTTGACTGTAAATTGCATTCAATATTTCATGTAATTACTGATGTAGGCCTAATTCACGTCCACTCCATTCCCTCGTTTTATTTTCCAATACTTCGGAAACAAAAATAAAGGAAAACCCAAGCCATTCGCAGGCAGTACAGGTATTATGACATCATCATTTAGTAGAATCACTGCACCCGAGTCCTACATGTTGAACTTCTTCGTAAGAAACAAATAACGGGAAATATTCCTGAATAGATTGATGAAAGCGGCATGTTGTAAAACTATTTTCGTCAAAGGTTTGTATTAAAAGAAGAAACCTTAACGTTGTTTGAAGGTCTCGAGACTTCTCGAACGCCGAAGACAGACGATTTCTTGTTTCAGTCTCACATTTCACACGGCGAGTGAGTCCCTGTGGAAAACAATAATGCTCTTCCAAAGAACGGGGTAGAGTAAGAAGCAAAAAACATAATTAAAATTTTTTATTCGCGTTTATTAGCGCTGCTCCCCTTAAAGATATATGCGCCCAGTACGCCCGACGAAAGACAAAGACGCAACAAAACAAAACATTACAGCGGAGGAATTATAACATAAGAGGAGAAGCGGCTGGGTCAGATTGTGTGTGTGTGTGGCGTCCGTGACCTTTTTCCATTGAACCCAGGCCTTCGGCGTTGATGATGCGCGGTGAATAATGAGGTGGACGGCCGCCCCCTTCTTCCCAAATTATCCTGTGGCTCTCGGCGCCCCGAAGTGAGCTTACTTTGCACGTTTTCAAGTCTTCACATTTCTCAAAAGGTTTTCCTGTTTTCATAAGTCTAGAAGTAAAGTCTCGGTGTACATTTTCTACCTTTTATTATGAAATTCTGTTTCTTTGAGACTGTAAAAAAAAAAAAAAAATTACGGGTTTAAATTACGGGTGGAGGGTGTTTTAATGTGTTTTGTTCTTCGTATGATTATGCTTTTGTCCAATTTTTTTTTATACCGGAGATATTATTTTTTTACAATTCCTCTCTCAATGTCTGAACTCGGGACAATTGTTTATTCCCTCATTTGAGATCAGGCAATCGAGGTAAATAATGTGCATCAAATCAGCGAACCTTTGCTATTTTAATCAGAGTGTGATCGTTCTCTCATTCTCCAAGAATATTTGAGTANCGGGTGGAGGGTGTTTTAATGTGTTTTGTTCTTCGTATGATTATGCTTTTGTCCTATTTTTTTTTATACCGGAGATATTATTTTTCTACAATTCCTCTCTCAATGTCTGAACTCGGGACAATTGTTTATTCCCTCATTTGAGATCAGGCAATCGAGGTTAATAATGTGCATCAAATCAGCGAACCTTTGCTATTTTAATCAGAGTGTGATCGTTCTCTCATTCTCCAAGAATATTTGAGTATAAACTTGAGAATAGTTCAACTTGAATCAACACTGCTCCAAGTCCAGGAATTCCCCTTAATTTTAGGGATCTGAAATCTACAACTCAGCTGTTTTCAAACTCCAATTCGAGAGAAGATTGTTTCGATGCACTTGAGAAATGGCTCATAACTTTTTTATTTTCAAGTTCTGCGTTTATTTTGATACAATCTATATCATTTGATGGATTTATATTGACATAAATTTTACTGAGTAATATTTCGTTACATCTCTTATCCTTAAAAAAAAAAATTTTGCTCACGCATGCTGAAATGCAGAGAAGACACAGCGCTGAAAGCATCCCAACTTCCTGAGCTGAATTAGCGCGCATTTTCACGCTTGATAAATTTGCAGGTGGTCTATTATGAAAAAATATTTAATGACAAGAATAATATTTCTAGTCTAAATGACTCAAATGTAATAAGTGTTCTGATGTTTCCAATTTGTGTTTCAAATTGCTCAGTGAAGCCGAATGCTGACGATGCTCAAATAATGAGCAAATACTTTATAGTCCTGACATCAATTTAAAAAAAAAATGTAATCAGGAAAGGAACACTGGCCTGCTTAATTTTTTTTATTGATCCCATGATATCTTTGAAAGATTTTTTTCTATTCGGTATACAGTACTCGTATATATGAATACCAAAAGCGTGTTATGAATTAAAAATTTTGAAAACCTTTGCGATAAGGTTCTTATATGTCGTCCAGGGACTCCTACTCCGAAGTCACTCAATATTCCTCGTCCACATTCACAAATGAAGCTTGACGAGCGTTAGATTGAAGCAATGGGATTCTCTTTTCTTCTTGTAAATTTTGTATTGACGGTCGTGCCGTGATTTGAGTAATTGAGGGAGGGATGAAAGGAGGCGCGTTGGTGGCCTTGCTGCTTTTGTTACCGGTCAAGAGGCGGGTTGATTGCTTTCGAACCGCTCTCGAAGATTAAGGTTCTTTTGCATGTCTCGCGAGAAATCCCGACTGGGTATGCACTCGGGATTATCCCGCCGACTGAAATGGGCCCTAGGGCTATATATCTTTGGGAACACCGTGAAAAATCACTCGCTCGTTGGATCGACTGTTTTGTAATCAAAGTCCGCGGTCTTCTTCATTAGGATTTTTTTTTTTGGTGGGTGCTCGGGGGTTCTTTTTCGGAGGAAAGGTTCCTCGGATGGTTCCGAATCTGCCGAAAGCTTTAATTACAGTAAGTTTTTATTATCAGTAAATTTAATTGCTTTCGAGTGGTTTTAAATTGCATTCTTTATCTGGTACCCGGGGAATTGAGCATTCCTGCTCATTGAAGGTTTTTATTTATTTTATAAATTGACCTTTTCAATTTTTTTCTTTTTCATGAGCACATTTTTATTAAATACTTTACGCAGCATTTTATGGTGATCCCAATACGTTTTTATGTGACACTTTCTTCAATTCTCAGTGGAGTTGAACGTACTGTGTATGAAAATACTGTATGTCGTAGGAGTCTATTCTGGGAGTTATCATCAATTTTATATATTTTCTCTTTTAATGCCGAATCCCGTGTTTCAAGTTGATCAAACTGACGTGGAATTTATTTTACAACTGTTCTGCTGAATATCATCTTCCTTCTTTTTTTTTCTTCTGTATAGGACACCCTTGAAAATCGCCTGTAATTCACGAAGAAGCTGCTCTATAAAGCCTAAACAACGTATAGCAGATGCTGAATCAATGTGAGACTTCATCCGTTAGTTTTTTTTTCATTTCGTGAAATATTACACGGGTCTGAAACCAGAGAAGCATTCATCGCGCAAAAAAAAAAGAATAAACGGATGAGCTCTGATGTGAAGTTTTGTTGCTGAGATTTAACGTCATAGAACATTACAATATCAGCAATTATCATCTGCATTGCAGCCCGAGGAGCAGAAGATTCAGGGATAATTATAATCCATGAGAAAACGAGTGTAATTTGGTACTTACATGTGATGATAGATTGGCTCAAATGTGGCCTGCAGGCATTTTCACCAGTGTACACGTGTGCGAGTCGACCCTTCGGACGAATCATGAAACAAAGACACACAAATATTCAGCTATTGCTATATTTTCGTGTTTTTTTTTGAGTGCTTCGGAATAATATAAAAACTATACCCGGAAACGCAGCGCATCGTAACGCTCGCGTCGTACTGTGCATTGTTTTCGAATCGGTAGACTTTTTTTTTCTTTTTCAAACGAAACTATTGTCTTCGAACCTTGTCCTTCGGAGGTTTATATTCTTGAATATTCGAAAACAAGAAGCATTTGAACTTTGTTTTATGGTAGGTCCGGTCGGGAACCGGGAAAACTCATCTGAAGATTTTAATTACGTTTGTTGTTTGATTTAGTGATGGGGATGGTGACAGACGATGATGCAATCGGCGGGTTTCACCTTTGTTTTCGAAAATTAATAAATCCGTTTTTGTTTGAAGATTTCAAACAAGATTGATGATTTTTTTGTTCGAAGATTTCTTTTAATATCATCAGAAGGCAAGTCACCTTTCCGAATGTCTTGGATGGATTCTCTCTATTCCGCACGAAAGACGTGTCTTTGATGGATTGAAAAAAAAGTACTGTATAAAGACTGCTGCGAAATTCTGAAGAATGAAAAATAACCCCGAGATGCAAAAGAATATTCTCGAGTCATTCAAATACAATTCCCGTTACCCAGTCAACCAAAAATATATGTGCAATCGATGCCTTTTGATGAAAAATATCAACGATGAATTTGGAAAATCCTTGATCAACTCGAAAGTTTCAATCCTCCGAATCGAGTTCCAATAATTGTGTTTTCCCCAAGATACTTTTTCCAAAACATTCCTCCGTCTTTCAATGGCAATGAGAAAATTTTCATTGATCAGAAGGAATTTTTTTTTGCACATGAGCGTGACGTTGAATTATGAGTCGAATTTTATTTATTTTCTTCCATTTTTAAAGGGAGCTCGGGTGAAAATTTCTGCACTCAAGAGTAACCTTGAATTACG